TCTTGCGCGCAGAAACAGAAAAAATGGGCGAAATGCGAATTTATACGTAGAGTGCTTCGGCGTGATAGAGCGACGACGAGGATTTTGAAAGAATTTAGTGCCGGCAAAAATTTGATGTAGCATATATAACGATACATTTACGAACTTTATTGTTAAATAAAACTTCAAATCACTTATGCATCCTTCCATCTATATAGAGCCTCAAAAATCTCTTCGTTTTTAAAACAATTTTATATTTATATTATATTTTTAAAAACTAAATCTGTAATAAAGTACATAGGTTTATTACGCAAAGTATATTTAGATAAGTTTTAGATGTGCAGAAATGCGAACTCTTAACATTTAAAAAAAGAGATGTTTTATCCGAATATTCCCTGCTAAGCGGTTAACTCATTTTTTACGCGACCCAGATTAATTCCAAACGAGGCGATTTCTCGATCGGCATTCGTTCTCGCGCGTTATTGTCGCCCGATAACAATGCAGACGGTATATGCAATCGAGGAGAACGATCATTAAAACAACGATGCTGGACGCGAGAGCGACGGGACAGGTCCGTAAATATCTGAAATGAAATCTGGACGCGCGCGCAAGTAGATAAAGATAATAACGTGTCGATAAAGCTTATACCGCACGGAAGGGAAACGTCATAAGACTTTCGCCTATAAATTCCGTCGCTATTACCTCTATAGAATACATGCCATCCGCACGCCACGGCAATAAAACGCGATATAACGCGCCCTCGAAGCAACCGGTAAGCATGTAGTCGATACATCGCCTGCTACAGATTGTTTCAGAAATTGCGAGGAGAAGTGACGAGACTCTCTGAATGAATTATGAGCCGTAGAATAATGCGGTATTTGAGAAACGCGTGAAGATTACTTGAAACCACGCTACAAACTCTAAATTTAATTAAGACTTTACCGCGTTTCACAAGTGTTTCTTCAGAGAACCACGAATATATTTGCGATGAATATAATCATAATAAATTTGGCAATATGTTGACGGAATACTGGCAAGGTTCCAATAAGGTAATATTCACATGAAACGACAAACCTCGGAATACCCGTCCACCTTCAGTATCAATATTATTTCTAGCAAATTCCTGTTACGTACGTTTCGAGACTCGCTACTTTGTCGCGGCCTATAGAAGCAGAACGGCGGTGTATTTTTCTATCGACGCCGGTCGTCGCCGCAACGGCACCGATGATTTACATGGTAATAAACTAACGCCTTGGTAGCGGCGGCAGCCCGAAAAACGCGTTTGATTTATCCGCGTACTTTCGCGAAGTACTGGACTTCTGCCAAGCCGGAAGGTCCATCTCGCCGGAAATCACGACCATAATTCAGTGCGGAAAAGAGACGGATCCGAGCGCGCACTGTGAAAATTTTCGAAGGAGACAGAATTGCCTTGTAAAATTCGCATAGGAGTCGTGTGTTCACGCGCATCGATTCGTATCCTTCGCGACACAATCGCCCTAAATTCAGTTCGCGAAACTCCGAGGAACCTCGACGAGACAACATTTACTTAATTTTTCTAACCCGATTACTGCAATCGTTGAAAGAATTAATTTTATTTTTTACTCAACATTTCAGTAATAAATCTCGACTAACGACTAAATTGATCTTGATGCGAGAATAACTCGATTTACGACCAAACGTCTTAGTAGGTATTTACTTCCGGCAATTAAAGACGAGTCGCAGTTAATCGTCGAAATTAACGCAAACAGGACGGATCCTCCGTCACGCTCTTGCTGTCCCGAAAAGGAGGTCGCAAACACTGCGTTCAGGAGTCAGTCGGGTCTGATTACACGTCGCCGGCAGGGCAATACCTTAACCCTTCCCTGTTGGAGGCTACCCTTCCGACAGGCCGCTGAGGGGGGGAAGCGGGCGTTTGCAATTTAACGGAATCTCTGCATATAGAGTGGGTTCATCGCGTCGCGCGGGTTCCGCACTTTAAATGACGTCCCGGAAGTCCCCGCGCTAATTCTACGGATCCTCGGACATGTATACCCCTCGTCGTACCCCTCGAGTCACTCGACCCTTCGCCGGGTTCCGCGTCCTATACGCAGGGCAGAGCTGGTTATGCGGACTCTGGTCGACGCTCGTAATAATTGCAGGCCTCGAAGCGAGGGAGAAAGAGATAAGAGCGTTTTACTAATGGCCGTGGAATATTTGCGGCGACACGCGAGATGCTCTGACATCTCGCAGTCCTGATTTATTGATGTTTGTAACCCGGCCGTAATATCGCGAAATAAATAATTTTGTAATCGGATTATACCGTTGAGCGGGCGAATGAATTTGCAGCGATACACGATACATAATTATAATTCACTGATATTTATTTTCGCTTCGGTTAGGTCGCTAAATGATATGATATAATTAAACTGTTTTGTTGAATGGGTAAATAACAACGTGATAAAAGATATATGATATTCAGCATTTATTTTATAATATTAAATTACAATAAATAGATCGTTTAACATAGATGTTTTAAACGTTTTGTTATACATGCGAATATAACATTTATAATTTGTAATTTGCTTTACCGAAGGCTCATCGACCAAATTCGCTCGCATCGTTATTTTATTTTGCCTCGCTTATTTGATTTTTTACTTTCGATACGAAACGCAAATTCTAACTTATGACGTTTGCTGCGCAAACTTTGTAAACGTGAAAAATACCAGCTATACAATTTAATTGATCACGAACGGCTAAGGCGATCGTTTGTTCCATCGACAGGTGGGTTTTACGAGCTATTCGATTCGCTGAAAATAAACGTGTACAAGTGGCGTTTGCTTAGCGCGACAGGACGTTAACGTTAATGAAACGCTGGCTGGCGTCTTATGGATGATTTATCGTCGTGGATTATTTTTCTCGGACCATGGTCTCTCGCGAGCGATTCAAAAGTTATCGAATATCGATTATGTATACTCCTTAGCGCAGGGTGGCCGTATAAATCCTTAGAGAATGTTAGAGTAAAACGCAGCGACAATAATAAAGTCGCGACGTTGCACGAGAGAGGAATTTTAATCTCTCGCGCGATAGCCTGCAATCGATATTAGTTCCCGTGTATCGTGATCTCTCATTCGGAACCCTTCATTAATTCCACTCGCCGCTGCTACATATTTAAAATGTCTTATCGGTGAATCAATATCGAGACATGTTTCGTATATATTTTCTTATCATCCGTAATGTCGGCAGAACAAAGTAACCAAACATCCGTACTTGGGTTCTCCATATAGAGAAAGATCTCGCATACCTATCTAGCGACCTGCAACATTTTCCTTCGGCGAAAGAATGACTGTGCGTCACGAAAGGCTTTACGCTCTTCCGCCACGCAGCTTCATAATTATTCGGTACGTGATATATCTAGGGGCAGGGTGCAATCCATTTCGCGATTTTCTTTTCTTTTGATCATCAATCATGCTGAGTTGTTAAACGGAAAAGAAGTGCGTAACTACAATGTGTGCATTATACAATTTTTTATTTGCGATATCATTTCATTATGCTTGTTTGTTTCATCACGCGAAACGTGATATGTGACGCTCCAAAACTTATCTGTTAACATGACAGGTTTTGTATACTTTAAATTTGCACGAAATTCAAATACAGCTATTTTCGGTAGCAAATAGAGAAAATTTTTCGCTTCCCTTATACGCGATGGTACGGATTTAAAAGTAAATGTTCCTACAGTTAGGTACTGCGTGCGGGACGAGAGTCATTCACGGCAAACAATGGCTGCGCGTTGTCGACGCGGCATCGGTGGTGGCCGAGGGTTCGGGAAGGGTGAATTGCGGCTACGTGCCCCCGCATACGAATGCGTCCGCGTGTACGAGGAGGAATCGAGGACGAGGGGGTCGCCAATGCCGCGTCGGCGTCGGCGTCGGCGTCGCCTCGAATCTAATAGATCGCGCCCAATACTTATGGTCAAATCGCAACCAACAGCCCCTGTAGACCAAGCGGAGTTCGCTCATTACCATTCCGCCCCGGCGCTCCAATAACCGTTGCTGATAATCAGAAATGCCTTACGAAGGATGTAAATCAATTCGGATATGACTACGGCGGCGTCTCCAAGCTTCTCGGGAAGATTTGCGGTACGGAGTGGAAAAGGTTAATTCTCTCTGCCTGTTGGACGAGTTCCAATTCTAACGAATGAATGTCGTAATCTTTCATTAATCAAAGTTCTTGGAAGACGTTTATGTAACTCTTAGATTATTTTTTGAAAGATTAATTTGGCTCAGAACATAAGTAAAAATACTATACCAGTATTAATAATGAATAATGAATAATTAGTAATTGATAATTAATAATTAATTTTTTCATTGTCGTGAAACATAAACAATGAATGGATCAATATCTTTATATTTGAGAATCATTAAATTAATATTCTAGACGTCTTATAATTTCAATAATGTTAAATTAATGTCAGATGAAATGCAAAGCTTAAATTTAAATAAAAATTGGTCGCCCGTCAACTTATTTTGCGGCGACTTCAAGGTTACTTGAGAGCATCGATATCTTTCTTGGCGAGCCGCAACCAGACAAGAATCGACCGGACCGACAAGGTTTCTCGCTTTGGGGATCCGATTCTCCGACGTGCATCGGCGCGTAATCTCCAAGTATACGGAGGAGAGTGTGATCTCTCCTCCTTGAAGTTTAAGCCTCTGTTAAGGCAGCTTAAAACTCAGGTAACGGGAATTACGTTCGGGATATGCCGCCGAAAGTTACGGACGGACTTCGGAATTGCGTCGCTCGACGAGAAGTTAATTGGAAATCGGTGTAACGGCGTTTTCGATCGCTGTGAGCTACGTACGAAGCCGTGCTATTTTTCTCACGTATTACATGCAAGCAATTCTAATTTACATGTATCATTCGATTATTTTTATTATACCATTTACGCGGACGATGAGTGAAACACTTGTTTGCACATTGCGGTAAATCTATGTATAATTCCGACACTTGATTATTTCATTATAACATTTTATTCTTTGTTGTTACAGGAGAGCCTAGAGGAGCGAGTGCAAGAGCTGGAGCAAGCATTGCTGGCGGAACGTATTGCAGCTCAACGAGATCGAGCGACGATCACGAAGTTACAGCGGCAGATCAACAAGGTATATTTTCTGCATGATATTTATAGGACGAATTCGTCGCAAAAGTGGAGAGTCAGCGACGTTAGGAGCAGCTTGACTATCTAATATGTCATATTCGTCAGAGTACTCTAATTTTGAAAGATATAAATTATTTCTAATACATTTTTATGAAAGTCAGTGGCAAAGTTGATAGTATAGTCGTAGGAATGTCAAACAGACATTTCAACATTAGCACACAGAATTGAGCAATTTTGTTAATAATGGCGATTACATGATCATTTTGAATTAAATATTGCAGTGATATAAACATAGATCAGACAATTAGCTATTAAAAATTTTAATATATTTTTGCGAAAGGCTTGTGTCACATTTCCGCGGTTGAAATTTTTATTCCGTATACTCCTGGCTCCTCCGCATCGGAGGGGAGATTAGAATTGCGGTAAAATATATATCCTATCGGCCCGGAACCGAGTAGCCAACTCGATCGAAGTCTGGACGCTAGCTCCATTCGGTCGGTCGGTCGGTTGCTGCACCTGACTATGGTCTCCGTCTTGTACGGAGTCGCCGATCCGTTAACTTTGTCCGTTCTCCCCGGAACGAAACTGCAATCGCGAGGGCGGTCTAAGTGGTGGTGGTTGATGATGGCGGTGGTTTCGATCCGGACCAGACCTGCAGATCCGCACGGCTGGCTGCCGCTGCTCTACGGTGGCATTCGGCGCCGTTCGCCGTATCAGATAACGACGACCCTCGTAAACCAGACCCCGTGTAGACTCTGCAGGAAGTCCTCTACGGGATACAGAGGGCAAAATCGTCTCTGCCCCTCACGTAATCACGTTTCTCTCCTGTCGTACAGTTTATTCGCGTTATGTCACTTCCAGCGAGGCGCCTAACGCCACCGGCCGATTTATCCCGTTATCCTCGATAATCTCGCGATACCCGTTGGATCGTTCGACGCGTTGTTACTGATCAGTATTACTGATAATGTGAAATTATTACTTGGAACGTTCTGACTTAATTATCTGAGGCACTTTAGAGATAATCATCGACTCCTTTAAGTTATATCTGCCTAAGTACTTACATACTGCATACATAATTTTCTCGTTATGCTTACAACTTTATAAATCGTTTTTCGAAAATTTTTATTTAAACTATATTCATTAAGTATAAAAATTAATTTGTCAGACATAATGCTGTACAACATAAATAACGAAATTGAAATATTCAGACTCAACTCTGACATTAAAACTCTTTTCTCAGAACAGGAAATAATTTCTTGCTAAAAAGATTACCGCGCAACAACGTGTAACGCTGTCGCGTTGTAATACAGTTTACATATTCGCGACAACACAAGAAAAACTGCTCTTTCGTACGACATGTTTGTATTACGCGATATTTCAATTATACACATAGCCGAGTACATACTTATACCACACTTCATTTCCCGCCGCGCAATTTCCGGCATAAAGCATTCGCGATTACCTCGACGTTTCCGTCGAGATGAAAAGATTCGCGCGGGTATGCAGAGACGACCGACTGTATAGCGTAATATTCCGAACTCGTCCGTGCCGCATTTTAATCTACTTCTCGTTGCCGAGTCGGCAACAGAAAGAGAGAACGTCTCTTGCTAAGACGGACCTTCCGGAATAGGATCTGGACAGATGTGGATGATACGGACGCAGCGTGTTTCTGACGTGCTTTTTTCCACGCCCCTTTTGCAAGCTTATAAAATATCACGACAAAAACAAGCGCGGACGAACGGAGGGAGGCTGGAGAACCCCTCGGTCACGGCTTGTGTAATCTCGTGTGATTTACGCGTTTTTCGCGATTCCGCGAACAGCCCGAATTATTTATTGCGCATCATGCGATGGTAAGTCGAAGTTGAAGGACTGTCTCCCGTCGATTTTCTTCGAATCATCCCCGCCGTTATTGCGAAATCACGAATCGGCCGAATTGCCTTTTTTCGCAGCTGCGTGCGATCCAGAGGGACGCTCGGAGCGTTTTGCGATTCTTTGTATCCCTTTGTGTCGCTTTATAGCTTGCGAGAGTATGGGCTGAACGATAGGTTGATTGATCTTTTATATGGAATTGCATGTAATTTAATAATAAATGTACAAGCCGCTTTTTGATCAGTGCAAATCGCGTACAGTTTCTATGGGTTTTTAATTACAATATACAAGCACCGTGAAATATGAAAATCTTGCTGTGAATTTCACTCTAATTACATGATTGTAATTTTACTTTAATGCAATATGTAATAACGGAGGGAAAACTTGTTATGTAGCGCTGATTGCGAGTGACGAAATTTTTTGTCATTAATAATTAAGTAATTAACATTTTTAATTACTTGATTACTTAATTTAATTACTTATAATTACGTAAAAATTTTTTACGTAAATAATTAAGCAATTAACTTATAAAATATTTTGGATTACTTTTTTTAGGCGAGAAACGTGTACGATTTCGTGCGGCGCGATTAGAATTGTGAGAATCGTATAAGATGTCGGAGGTAGGCGGATAAAATTAATTACATTGCGCGGGAGAGAGAATGGATACATCTTTTTTTTCCTCCGTTTCTTTTTTCTTCTCCGGACGCAACGATTAATTATTCACCGGGCAAATGTATAAGTAATCCCCGGGCTGGACATTCTACCGCATTTCCACAAATCCAGTTGACACTTTTCCAGTCACGAACGTCGGCGCCACGCGGTATGTAAGCCGCGATAAATTGCAGCCGCTGCGGCAGGTTAAATCTACGTAATTTCTGCCGAAATTAAACGCGGCGATCTGGGAATTAGAGAAACCAGTCTGCTGATCGTGCAAAATCGAATGCACTCGAGTCGGGGGCCCGGTCGAGCGACTCGTTCGCTTATCGCACGAACGTCGTCTCTTCGTTGACTTCATTTATCGTGGCATTTTTCCAAGCGTGTAATTTAGATGGAGTTTTGGATAGCTGCCGATCTCATTAATCCCCGCGGATTGCGCTACGTGCGTTGGTTAGATCATATTTACCGAAGATATAATTATTTCACATAGTTATTAAGAGCTTGGTAAGATTCATTATACGTGAGGAATAATTATAATTTATACGGACGAGAGAGAGAGAGAGAGAGAGAGAGAGAGAGAGAGAGAGAGAGAGAG